CGAAAAGTTCCTGAAGAGGTAAGAGGGAGGGCCCCACTCTCACCGGGCTTCCCAAACCACGAACTTGGTTTTAGCTCGTCCCTCCGCCTTCTCTCACCCTTAACCATGGGTGCAGCCTTTTGCAACAGTCACGGGGAGCAAGCCCTAAAAAACCCTGGAGGAGGAGGGGGGGTATATTTAGGTAACAGGAAAAAAGGGGGGAGTGTTTGCAACTTCGGGTGTTCATGATTCTTCTACTAAAAAAAAAAATCCAAATGCTCTGATTGCTGCAATGCTAATCACCCTTGCTTATCAAGGACTACGGCCCGCTAAGTACAGTGGGACGCGCTTCCAAGTAAATAGTTCGGGGAGTCCCCTGTAAGGCTACCACCCAATGTCTGTTTGCTTAGGAGCAGGTCTAGGTGGCGCTTACTTCTGAATGCACAAGTATTAGGCTACTTATTTTCCTTACGGGAAAAATACAGAAATTCGGCAAAAGTAGAGGGGGAATAGCACATGCCAGGTATCTTGATTCCCACCCTGACCTATCCTGGGTTATTTCAAATTAGAGACTCAGCCATACTTGCAGTGGCGTTCTGCGAATGTCAGCGATCGCGGACCCGCGGCTGAGACCCGGCGAAAAGCCCGAAAGAAAATGGGAGCGGGAAGCGGCGGCACCCACCTTGACTCAGCCCGTGGCGGTGCGCAAAAGCCGCAGCTGGTTCTTGGGGAATGTAGTTTGGCGGAGAGCGCCGAAAGAAGTGCTTCCCGGTCATATGACCCCCGTTTTGCTTCCCGGGAATTTCCTTTGGATCTAGTCTGGGTGGCCGGAAGCGAAGTCCGCGTTAAGGTTGCAATCCTATAGCCGCAATTACTGATAAGTAGCCAAACTTTGAATAATGATTAACAGAGATATTATGTGTGCGTCTATCAGTGACCAGTCCCATTAAGGCATTAGCCTGGGCTTGTTAAGTAGATTGATTGGCATCTGTGAAGGCATCTAGTCGGGCGTGGGTGGAAACCACCTGTTTTTGGTAATAAAAAGACCAAACACATGGAGCATCCTCTTTCCTATTCAGGACTGAGTAAATTCCTCTGAATGAGGTGGTCAATAAAAGCCTTTTCAGAAAATCCCCAGATTTCCATGAAGGGAAGTGCTAATAGAGCAACTTTCCATATTTTTACTCTAAAAATGTAAAATTTAATTTTTATCTAACAATGTAACAAATATTTAAAATTAAATCTAAAAATGTTATATAAAAAATGCTGCTTCCCCCCCCCCCATTCATAGAGAACGCTCCAATTAGTTTACAGTATAAATGCACACACAAATAAAAATGGAGGATAAAATAAATTAAATCATAAATAAGGTAACTTCACTTTAAAAGCCTGGTCCCCTTGAAAAATAGATTGCATACTGATCACTCCCAAGTGCCAGATATACAAATCTCTGACAGCAGTTGTGGCATAAGAGTGGGGCAGGCTTTTCCTTCAGATCTGAATAGCTGGACTGATGATAAAATCCTTAAAATTGTCAGATTATCCAAATCCCAGACCCACCCACATATATGATGTAGCCTCCCCATTTTTCAGCCTTTCTTTCTTGTCCCCAAATGTTATGTGTGACTTCTGGCCACTGAAGTTTGCCTACCGTGATGTATATTTCCATTTGGCAGTGCCTGGACATAATCTGCTTAAAGAAATCCAAGAAGGGAAAGCAAAGGCTGTTTTTATCACATATTTCCCTATTTTCAAAATATAACCTTAAGAATCTGCTTCTTCAAAATGTCCTATTTTAATTGGTTTAGGGGGGAAAAAAGTTGGGTATACACTAAAAAACTATATTACATATATAATGCTGATATATGCCCTTACTTCCATACCTTAACATCAAAACATGCTTGTACTAGTGAGTCTAAAATACAGTATCATTTCATTTAAAACAGGAGAAAAGTTTAGTGTCTTTTTGAAGGTGCTGAGATACAGGTCTCAGGATTGCAAGTTGTCAGATAGTCAGTACTCCAGAAAAGATCCAGTCTACAGAATATAATCTTAATTAAATTAAGAATTAAAATAGTTCTTCAAATTTGTAACGAATACCATTAAACACAGAATTACAAACATTAGCAATAGGTTTGGCAGTCTGAGACAAAATCACAACAGTAAAGTAAACCAATACCCTGAACCTTTGATGTATAGTCCTAACCATTCTCTTTTCAAAGTCCTACTTTTACAGTGGGGAAAAAAAGTTATCAGACCACCAGTCACATTCAAAGAGCCTATATAGTCCCTTTGGAAGTCTTTTTTTCAAGGCAAAGGAATATATCCAGATCCCATCAATGACAGAGATTCAGTGTTGGCTTGTTGAAACCACGTCCAGTACAAACACGCAGGTGTGCTGTCTTTAAGTAACGCAGGAAAAACAAAGGGCTTATAGCGAGAAAGGAAAAGCTATTGAATCCTGGATGTTAGGGCTGGTCTCACTGTAGCTTCTTTCTTTTTGAAACACAGTTCTTCCAAACCAGACAGAAAGGATGACTGGAAAGGAAGAATGGAAGCTATTAACAACTATCACTTTATAGAATAAATAGAAAAATGTAGCCTCTCAACAGAAGAGCCATCTCTTCTGTTAAGTGAAGTCCCAAACTGATCTTTTCATGCTAGAAAAGTAAATTCATCGGCTAGGAGGTTTTCTATTTGGACAGGGCAATAAATAAATTCTAGAGCACTAAATCAGAGTTGTCCACATACGGTATACAGTATACGTCTCTGGTATAGAGAGAAGAGTGTGAGAGAAAGTGTTGCTCCTCCCTGCCTCTTTTTTTTTTTCCCCATATTGCTATGAGGGTGGGGATGAACAAAAAGCAAATGTTTCTCAGAAGACATTTGCAGCTTCTCTTTTCCCTCCATACTATTTAACAGGGGGGATCCCCAAAGGACATTAATTTAGAAAGAAAAGAAAAACAGTCTGGCTCACTTCAGGCTTATCTGGCATATCAAAGGGAATTTCTGTAGCCTGTTTCTCCAGCTGGATTTAAAAGTATCCAGGGACTCTGGAAGATACTTCTAAATACTTTGAAGAATCTAGGGGTTCTGGAACTCACTTCTAGTTTGGGTAGGAAACAGTACACTTGGTAAGGATACCCTAACACCAACCTTTTCTTTTTTTAACAAATTCCTTGGATGCTGGGAGGATTTTCTGAAGACTCTCCTATGGGCATATCAGGATTCAATAGGTTAGGGACCTCAGAAGAATGAATGGTGTCATGTAGAGACCCAGGAGTCTGCTTTGCAGTTGTCCCTAACTCTTCTCTGGGCAGAAGTAAGATGAAGTTTCTCTTTCAGCTTCCATGGTATAACTTTCTCTCACCAGTTGTGCTTCTCATAAAGGGAAGGATTACCACTACCAGTTATCTCATATCATGAAAAAGACTGTGATATTTCTACAGCCTTGGGATCTGAAACAGTTCTTCAGAATCCAAATTTTCTTTTTTTTCTAGATATGACTGTATAGCAAACCACTGCTGATCCCAGAGGGCTAATTGTTCTGACCTATTCAACTATATACAGTACTGACTGCTTCTACCTATATTGTTGTACAGTATAGTATATCCTATAATTCTACCTCTAGTTTTATTCTGTTTCCCGAAAGTATGCCCCAATGTTCTTATATATTGACCTGTATATTATTCTTAAACTCACTTTTTTGTCTTGTACCTATTGATTTTTTTTATTGCTCCCTCCCACTGCCATATTTTTTTCTTTTGTCGTCTTTTGTGGTCAACTTCTTGTCTCTCAATACTATTACTATTACTAATACTAACAATTCTAGATTATTGGGGAATAAATACTACCAGGTCAATTTACTGATATTGTTTCAAGGATTAAGGGAAAAAAGAGGACAACTTTGCTTTCCTGTCATGTGGAAGTGTTGGCACCTGAGTCAGAAAATTACCAACTGGTTTGGTTCAGAAAAATGCAAGAGCCTAAGGGAAGTTGACTTGCAGAGTACCAGGGACTCCCATCATGGAGAAGCAGAGATATTAAGAGCATAGGCCACTTTAACCAATGACCTTCAGACATTCATAGGAGAGATGGTATTGTTTGGGGAGATTGTATTACTTCTGCCAGTTCTGGATTTAGACGTGGTAAGGCTCTAAGCAATATAAAGCTTGGAGGCCCCTTGTTAAAAAGTTACACCAGAAGATCTCACGAAGGTGTGCCCCAAAACAGGACCTTGGGTCACCACAAAAAAATTGAAAACATATATATGCCTTTTAATTAAATTTTAAAAAGCCATTTTAAAAATACACATAATTTGCTAGACAAGATTTTAAAAACTGCAGTACATATAGAAGCCACATAAAATTATAAAAGCCAAAAATAATAAACCCTGAAATTTTGTGAGGCCCTAAACTGTAGCTTGTTTAGCTTATACCTAAATCTGGCATTGCCCTTGTTTCATTAAAGATAGCTTTATTTTTCTTGTGGCTTGACATTTGAGGTTATTTTTTGTCTTAAAAAGGAAGACCTATATAAAGATATAAATTGTGATTAATAATATGAAAGACAAAATTCCTCAGATTTAGATAAATTTTCTGCAGAATGTGTTTTGATTAACAGATTCTTTTGAATTACAGAATGGATACTTTCAGGATTAGATCATTCAGCCTTCTTGGAAAGAGGTCCAAGTGTGACTGAAGCTACTTTTTAAGTCCGTATTAACTGAAGTATAGTGGGTATATTGAAGATGCATTTATTTACATATCATGACTATCAATTCAATTCCATAAATCCTTTGACTATTCTCATTAGCAATGAGCCTAGTCAAAAAAGAACAGGTTTCAATCTGTACATTCAAGTGTGAAGAATAAATCTACAAAGAATGTCATTAACCACATTTTGTACAATTTAAAATTTTAAACATTTCCAGAAGAACAGCTGTGTTTGTTGCAGAAAAAAAATTGTGGCAGCCTTAAAACAAATTTCATTACGTTGCAAGATTTTGTGAACTATAGTCCATTTCATCAGATCTGTGGAGAAATATCCTGAGACTGGAGTTGTGTGAGAATAAATTCTCACAGAGATTGGTAGTGGAACAATAATTACACATGATTGGAATGAGGGAATAATCATGATCAGCTTCTTTAAGAAGATTGTTGGGTATGTGGGTGAAGCTGTGTATGTTTGCTTTTTTTTTCCCCTGCTGGATGAAATGCTTGCTTGCTGATCCCATGACCTGAGGGGAGAAGATTTACAGCTGCAGCTGATCAAGTGAATGGGTCATGTCCAGTACTCTTTAGAAAAAGGAGAGACAGTTAGGAATGTATGGCTGCAGTGAGCCAACAGAAACAGGAGAGTTGATAAAAATTTCTTCATTTTTTTTCTTTTTCAGAAAGAGTAGGACAAGGAACTTCGGTACATTGACCTTCTACCTCCAGAAGTTCAAAGTAAGTTTAATATATAAGGAAGCGAGGAATCTAACTCTGGGGCGGGGCGGGGCGGGGGGGACACAGCAAATTGCTTTTTGTTTTGGAAAAAAAACAAAAAACTAAGTCACCAACAGTGTGAAGGCAGAGAGCCAGCAAGGGGGAAGGTGCTTTCCAGGTTATTGCTAGCATGATAAGTGTATGATTATCTACCTGTTTGGCATAGTTTATACTTTCTCCTGTCTTT